GCTTGGCGTTCACATTCAAACTGAACCAGAGTTCACTTCAACCGAACCCGGACTGAGGTTTGGAGGACCAGAGGTCAGAGGTCAATTAGCGTTCACACCTGACCAACCAGACTGGACTTTCTAGCAAATGGACTAAAGTGGACTAAACATTGCTGGCAAGACAGCAGCAATGTCCTCAGACAAGCAACTCCTGCTGAAATACACGTTAGCAGTTCCTTAATGCAACATGCTAGCAGCTCTGGGTTAATGCGTATGGCCTGGTAGCATGGCTGTTAGCTAACAGCCTGGTAGCATGGCTGTTAGCTAACGGCCTGGTAGCATGGCTGTTAGCTAACGGCCTGGTAGCATGGCTGTTAGCTAACGGCCCCTTAGCGCGGCGGCTGCTCCTGAAGCAGAAATGCTCCTCAGACTGATGAAGTCATGTGTGTCCAGCTGTAAAGAGCAGCTCTGTTTTGTCCTAAACAGCAGGGTTGATAGTTGATGAGCACACACACACACACACAGACACAGACATGCTCCAACTGCTTCAGTAAAACCAGCAGCTCCTTAAATAGAAATAAACTCTGAAACATGAAAATGAAAAAGGTTGAACTCTTTATTTGGTCCTGAACCTGAAGAACTGACCAGAACCCGAACAAAACCCAACATGGCTCCAGAACCTCAGGCGACTGACAGCATTTCTAACCGCAGGCGGGATTATTGAGTTGTGTGTCATCATTATTGGAGATAATAGAAACTGTCAGGAGGAAAACAGCCTCATTACCATCATTATATCAGTTGTTATGATGTTTGTGACTGAATGTCTGGTTGTGATTCTCCATGATGAATATATGTTGATGAAACGTGACTGAGCTTAGCGTGTGCTGCCTGGTTCAGCTGCGTTCCTGTTGTAATGCTGTGTAACTGGTGCAGCTCGTCTGATAACCAGGAAGTTTTATTTTTAGAACACTTCTTGTCTTCCGTCAACACATTTAACACCAAAAACATTGAGATGAGCCTTTAAATCATCTTTATTATTATTATTTTTATCTTAATTTCTATAAATATTAATAAATATTAAGATACATTTTTAAACATGTCTGTTTCGTCTTTATTTTTAACCCAAAAAAAGGCAAAAGTTCAACTTTCTCTCAAGCAGTTTTGTGTTTAATTCAGTTTCATTTGATATTCTGTCGGTAGATGAGGCTTTGTCCTCTTTATGAAGCTCAGCAGCTCAATTCAACCAAGCGACTCGCATCAGGAACCGAAATGCATCTCCAGAAAGCAAACACTGATCAGGTTGGGTCTGCATGCACCTTTATTACAGAGTAATAAACAGTAATAAACAGTAACTGCTGTCGGATGTGAAGCGTTTTTCGTCGTGACCAACATGTGGAGCTGAGTTAAAACCGCGTTAGAAACCGTGTGAAAGCGCGTCTATAAATAGAGGCGCTTCCTGTGCGCAGACGGCCGTCCTGCAGCTCAGCTTTCATTTCAGCCGCTTTACGAGTCGCATCCGGTTCTCCTGCCCACCATCAGCCTCCTGCAGCCGGCACGCCGTCATCTCGCTGCCGATTGGCTGGAAATGAACGGGACGGCGGCCATTTTTAATATCTGTCTGTTATTGAAATTTAATTCAGATGTTTTGTTGCTGAAATGTTTTTATTTAACACTTCGAAGTCCAGCCAATAGATTGGGATGTCTTGGTTATGTTCAGAGGTTTAATATGAAGATCTGAGGATGAATGTTCGTTTTGTTCTGAGGTTCAGACTAGAATCAGTTCATGATTCATTAACAAGAATAACATGATAACCTCCAAGTTTATCATCAGAAACAATGTTTAAAAACAGTGACCCATGTTTCACCTATAGTTAGAACTTTTAACCATCAAACTTTATTTATTTGGATCTACAGATATTTCTGTTTCCAGAATCTTTTATTTATTTTTAATCTGACAGAGACTCAGAGGAGGGAGCTGAAGATGAGGGTGATGGTAAGGAGGCCTTCCATCCGTTACCAGACAGAAAACAACCTGAATAAAGTTATTTAGAGTTGGTTGTAGTTTTTCTGTTTACATTAAATCCGATCAAATGTTCCCAGTTTCAGCTCAGTTAGTGTTGACCAGAAAGTTACTGGGATAACAGGAGAGAAAAGAGTTTATATCTTGAAATCCAGTATTTTTTGGCACATTCCTCAGAACTAAACTAGTTTGAATTTTTAGTTTTTCTCAGATCATAAACTGAATTTATTCCTAATTCTAGATTAAATTGACAAACTTTTTTTTGCTCAGTTGTTGCGCCTCTCTTTGGTTTTCTGAAGCGTTAGTGAGGCCGTCTGCAGGTTATCAGGTGTTTCTGCTTGTGTCTCTGCAGGTTGGTGGACGATCGCTGCGTCGTGGAACCGGCTGCTGGAGATCTGGAGAACCCGCCCAAAAAGTTCAGAGGTAACGCTTCCTGTCTCCACCCAGAGATACAACCAGGAATATCAAGCTTTTACCATGAAAGGTTCAGGTCGCCAGTTACCATGACAACGGCCAGTTAGCTGATTTTTTTACATTTTTTAAATTAGAGGAAAAAATATTCCTCACAACTTTAATTTCAAATTGATTATTTCTATAAGTTCATTTGTAAAGGTAATAAGCAGGAAGTGGCAGGGCATTCTGGGTAAATACAACCAAAGCTAACATGCTAGCCTAGCGCTAGCAGCAGAAATGGCTCCTGGTCTTTAGCCTAAAGAGAAATCCTCCAACCGCTAAAATCCTCCATCTTGTTTCCATCTGGTGAAGAAGGAAGTTGCTCTCAGTGTCTTCAGAGGTTTTTGTGTCGTTTCTTTCAGTGGTTCTTGGTGCAGCGCCCCCACAGGCCAGGAGGGGAACAGGTTGGTTTGACTCAGAACAGCTGGAGGTGGAGCAGATGTTCTAGTTCCAGTGGAACCGGGTTGACCGGACCATCGGGAGGAAAACAGCCTAAACCTCAAATTAAAAACGGTTGAAACGTGTTTGGGCCTCCGGCCGTCTCCATGTGCGGAGGACGGGTCGTCGGTTCGATTCCCAGCCTCACACCGTTTCCTGCACGTCTTCCTCTCTCCAAAACAAATAATTTCATCAGTTTCACCTTCTGCTTCCATCGTTGTTGTTTCACACTGTAAAACATTTGGTAAAGGTTAAGTTATGAATCACACATTGTCAGAGACAGGAAGCATTAAAGGCAGCAGGAAAACCGTCTTTTTGTTCCCAGGTTGGGTCTGAATGAGAGGAAAGCAGCAGGAACATTACAAATAAATCCAAGCTAATGTGGTTTAGATTTCAAAGAATCAGATTAAATTATCAATATGTATAATTAGTTATTAAAAAAGTGAAAAGTTAAATTTTTCCTCTTCAGGATGAAATGTGTCGTTTCTGAGATTTTAATTAAACTGAGTCTTTTCTTCTGCTTGGTTCACTTCATTCAGCTGGAATATAAAACATGTTTTATGTACAAACGGTGACATAACGAATGGGTCAGAACCAGTCTGAGAACTGGTACCAGACTGTTCCTGGGTCAGAACCAGAGGAAGCCATTAAAGCTGCATGAGGAACAGAAATAACGCCTTTAGAGCGAGTCCAGCTCCGATCCGCAGGGAGCCGCAGCAACACCAGGCTGACCGCTGCCAGGGACCGGCCCGGCTGGTTCCGAGGGGCCGGTCCATCTGGTCGGCTCTGCCGGGACCCGGGGGGGCCGGTCCAGTTTAGAAGTGGATCACAGACAGAGACTGACAGCTGAAACTTTATATTCAGAGTTTCTGACTGTCAGTCTGACTAAACTTTCCTGTTTGAGATCAAAACGTTCCGACCCAGTTCCACCGGTTCTGTCAGGAGGAACGTGGAAAAACCCAGAAAAATGTCAGCTAATGCAAATGTTAGCACAGTCCGGATTCTAAAGAAGCTCCAGGAATGATCAGAGAAACTCTGGAAAGATGAACAGATAGAAAAACAATCTGATGGTTGAAAAACAGATTAAAAACTATAAATATATTTTGGTTTGGAGTTTCTGTGTCTGTTTATTCAGGAGTTTAGCAACAAAAATGATTTTTGAACTGAAAGTAGAGAATCTGATTTAAAAAATTAATCAAGTCCTACCACAAAGAAATAATAAAATAGGGATTTGAAATTCATTTCTTGTGTTATCTATAATAGATAAATGTATTTTAATGATTTATTTTGTAATGAAATCTGGTTTTAGATGCATTTTTAATGTCTTGTAGATGATGTGAAAAACAAACAGAGCTGTGTGGCTGGGCCGTGTGAAACGGATTCGAACCCGTTTGGACCAAAGCAACGACTCGGAACATTAAACACACACACACACACACACACACACAGAGAGAGAAATATCTGCTGTTTGACAAACACACACAGTGGAAGCAGGAAACACCCAGGATCCTGCAGGAGAGTCAATATTGACAGGGTTCCTTTCACTCCTCTGGTCCAGATGTCACAACAGCTCCAGATCTCGGTTCAGAGTCGCACTCTGGACTGAGACGGGTTCTGGAAGCAAGACGGGTCCAGAAGACAGGAGGAGGAGGTCAGGGAGCGGCTGGATGGCCGGGTTGCAGCGCAGGGAAATGAAAACAAAGCATCTGCTGGCGAGTTACCAGCTGAGCCTTCAGGCTCTGATCACATTTCTGTGAAAACCTTCAGAGATGCATGTCGGGTCCTGTCAGCACTCCTAGAGCACCGATTCCCAGAACACAACACGACCTGAATGCAACACGACCTGAATGCAACACGACCTGAATGCAACACGACCTGAACGCAGTGCGACCTGAACACGATGCAATCTGAACGCGATGCATCCTGAACACGATGCAATCTGAACGGAACACGACCTGAAAGCAACACGACCTGAACGCAACACGACCTGAACGCAGTGCGACCTGAACGCAGTGCGACCTGAACACGATGCAACCTGAACGCAACACGACCTGAACGCAATGCGACCTGAACGGAGCATGACCTGAACACGATGCAACCTGAACGCAGCTCGACCTGAACGCAGCACGACCTGAACGGAACACGACCTGAACGCAACACGACCTGAACGCAGCACGACCTGAACGCAACACGACCTGAACGCAGCACGACCTGAACGCAACACGACCTGAACGCAACACGACCTGAACACGATGCAACCTGAACAAG